CCTCCAGCCTCAAGGAAATAATATGACTGTCTAGACTTGAAACAGCATCTCAGGATCTGTAGTGTCAGCAATGGTAAATAAAAAAAAAACATTGCCCTAATTTCCTTAAAAGAAAGGAAGTTGAGGAGGATGCTTTTTGTGACCATGTGTGGCATTTCTTTTTAATTTTGCGGTCAACCGACGTGACGTCGGGAGTGACCGACTGAAAGGGAACACGACTCCCACAGGGAAATTATGGGACACTTTTTTTAGAGAACAATGCTGCTTTCTTGGAAATATAACGGAAATATAACGATTGTACAAGCACTGGCAGCTAACAACACCCCCCCCCCTCCCATTTCCAGCCCTTATATTATATTATATTGTATTGTATTGTATTGTATTGTATTGTATTACATTACATTAGATTTATTATATTATATTATAGGGTCGGTAACATAGAATTTTTTTTTAGTGTTTCTTTATTTGATCAATTACTCAAGTAAAAACTGGTAATCTTGTGAAATATTTTTTACCATTTAAAATAACTTTATTTTATTGTAATATATTTACAGTTTTTGTGAGAACTGTGATACATTTTTTCAGGATTACCTGATGAATAGAAAGTTCAAAAGAACAGCATAAGTCAGAGAACATTATACAATTCTTCACTTTCACAAAACAACAAAACAGAAAACAAACAAAAAAAAACAGACACCAAACTTTTTAGTGGTATGTATAAAAATACATCAAATAAAAAATGTACTGGGATACAATTTTTTCTGTCTGGCTGTGGAACCAATGACATGTTTAAGTTATTCCTATTGGCGAACAGCCTTCATGAAAAAGAGAAGTTGTATTTTTAGTGTATGAGACATGTATTAGTGACTTTTTGAGTCTACCACAGCAAAGAAAATGATTGTCCTTCTCTTCTTTATCTCATCAAATATACGTGTAACATGTAAGTACAAAAAAATTCTTCATTCAGCAGTGCAATACAATAAAATATTGTGCCCTATATTTCATATCTGTACAGTTCAAAAAATAGGATCAAGTATTTTTGTCTTGCTTTACTTGTCATCTTCCAATTCTTTTCTTATTTTATAGCAAAATTTGAGAGTATGCTTAAAACAAGAAAAAAATTGCAATGTGGTGTGAAAAATAGTTGATATGTGATATAAAAACTTCATTTATTGTCTGTATAGGTACTTTACAAAGTTCATTAAATGTATCTCATTTTTAGGATGTTCAAATATTTGACTGGAAAACAAGATGTTATGATTAATGAATACTATTCTATGTATGTTCATTGTTGTGTTTCTTGTGCTATATTTCTCCTCTAAGGCCATTGGAAAAAAATAAACCTTTTCTTACTCTGTCATCATTCACTCAACATTATTTGATTAGTTTAGTGATAGTGAAAGATGTGAAAAATGTTTTTTACGAAAGAATCAGGAAGAATGTGTGAAATGCATGAGAAATCGAATCATTTGGTGCCGTATGAATGATAAAACTAACAAGTGTTGAAACTTCTCTCTGTTTATGTGCTGTAGCCTGCAGCGAATCATCAAAACTGGTGGTTGGACAGGTTGGGGATACAGTTAATCTTCCATATAAATATGACATTAACACTACTGGCCTATTGAAAGTCTGCTGGGGGAGACGTCAGTCATGGTTCAGCTGTGAGAACACTGTTATCTCCTCCGATGGCTTGCAAGTGACCTACAGAGAGTCAAACAGATTCAGCTTGGCCAGTGGACTGGAGCGAGGGGATGTTTCACTTACCATAAAGGCTGCTCAAAAGAGGGATGCTGGGATGTACGTGTGCCGTATCGAGATCCCTGGACTTTTCAATGACATTAGTCACAATGTCTATCTGTTTATCAGCAATGGTAAGTAACCACTCCAGTTGATATCAGTGTTGTTGTGCTCATACCGTGATGATCTACAATATTCCTGTTCTTGCATAAAAGGACTGGATCCAAAGAGAGTCATCTCAGAAACACAACTGGTCCCTAAAACAGCAAATCAGGAAAAACAAGGTTAGAAAGTATTTTGCTTTTTCAGATCTGTTTTGAGCAAGGGATAACAATGTTAAATGCTAATGCAACTAGATATTTAACCATGCATACTGTAGAGCTACTTCTGTTGCTGATTTCAAAGGTTGCACATCCAAGGACATGGCCAACATAGAAAGGTTGACTGGTTAAGAAATTAATACTTTTATTCAGCAAGAATGCATTAAGTTGACCAAAAGTGACAGTAAATGGAGAGTTCAGATGCAAAAGCCTCTAAGTGCCGTCTGAAATTTTCATCTAAAATGAGCAGTTTTATCAGGCTCCTATATTTATGTTCATTTATTTCATTTTAATGGCATAGAAAATGACTGACCTATACATTGTCATAAAAGTAAAATTACTGAACCTAAACATAGGAGCCTGATAAAAATGCTAATTTTAGAAGAAAATTTCAGATGGCACTTAGAGGATTTTGCATCTGAACTATTCAAATATGTTTATAATGTAAAGATTTCCGTTTCAAATTTGGAACTTTCTGTTCATTAAAGATGCCACAAATATATTAAGCAGCACAACTGTTTTCAAAATTGATAATTATAAGAAATATTTCTTGAGCACCAAATCAGCGTTTTATTATTGATTTCTGAAGAATCATGTTTATTTCTGAATAAATTACATTTTAAAACATATGAAAAATGAAAGCAGTTATTTTAAATTGTAATGATATTTCACAATATTGCAGTTTTACCTTATTTTTGATCAATCAAATGCAGCCTTGTTTTCAGAAACATTAAAAAACCACTGCCCCACAACACTAGACGACAGTTTAAAAATTAAATTTGTTAGTGAAAACTTTTTTTTTTGTCTTTTTTCATTCATTAATTTCAATGATTAATCAATAATTTATTATCAACCAATACATTTATTACCATATTAATAACAATATTTTTAAAATCTGAATTACCGGTACTAACATAATAGTTGGAACACAGTGGTCTGAAAACTTTTCACCAGTGGTCAACAAGCACTAGGCTCAAAACCCCGACTAACCATTTTTTGTTTTACACACAGTCTACTATGTATCAGACCCAACCACACTCATTACAGAGCTTTATTTCATATCAGAAAAGACAACTGCATGTATGAATATAATCATGACCACATTTAATCAACTTTGAAAGTTATTCAGAAATGTAAGAGTAAATACAATGATTGATTTATTTCAGATGCTACCGACATCTACATGTATGAAGCAGTTGCAGTTGTCCATGCTGAGGTATTGCACTATTCTGTTTGCAAAGACACATACATTGGCAGTTTTGCATCTGTATTTTGCCTTGAATATGTTGTAGGTAATGTATGTATGAAATGCATATTGATTTTTGGACATGAATAAGGTGTTACTGTACATACATGTTGTGTGTCATTCTAGGATACAATGGAAACATTTGTCATAAATACTGTAAGAGTGGGGGCCATTGTCTTCATCCCGGGTTTAATCATCGCACTTCTGTTCAGTAAGTAGAGTAGCAAGTAATTCATTTGAATGGTTTAGCTCTGGAGAAATATGAAATACTTGTAAAAAGCAAAAAAGGCCAAATCTCATGAAACCTCTCAAGAACATGAACAGATCACAATTCATTCTAAACACAAAAGAGAGGAGATAAGAAATTATAATTAGCATAAGAAAACAAAGTAAATTTTTTTTGCAATGTGACATTATTTTCATAATGAAGCATATTTTTTTGAAAATTTACATACCTTAATTTATTGTCTCAATGGTCATTCTCACTGTCAATTAAAACATTCATGTAATATAAGAATTATTATGTAATATAGGGGGTGAAATGTGACCTTCAGGTTGTCATGTTTACAAAGGTCTGTCATATTCACCAAAATAAATACTTAAAGGGGGTGAAATATGTGACCTTGTCAGGTTGTCATGCTCACATGTCATATTCACTCAAATAAACCTCTGTACCAAACAATATATAGTTTGAAAAGTGTACTGAACATTTTATTTAATGCATGAACAAGAAACATTTGCTCATTGCTCATTGCTGTGTGGAAACTTCTGCAGATCCTCATGCTGCATACAACGTTAAATTTGGCTCTCAGAATGTGTCTCCGTGGCTGAGTGGAAGTGAAAGAGGTGGCTCACGGCCTGTTTTGCTTACTGTGCACTAACGCGTCTTTCTGAACGCTTTGCCCTCAGGACTGCGGCGCTCCAGAGAACGCACTGGATGAAGGAGAATGTAAAAATCTGCCAGGCTTCCCAGACCAACAACCACACACTGATATGGTGTGACAGTCAGTTCTGAGGTCACTATGACTGTATAAAAACCACATGCATGGTGACTTTTTTTTGTGTGTGTGTGTGGTTTGTTATCAGTGCCTAATAGGCTATTTATGAAATAATTGATCAGTTATTAATCTAAATCTGAGATAATTTATTTACATTATGGTGGGGTTTTTTTTCATTGTAATATGACGTGTTTGTTGCCTGTATCTTTATCTGTAAAGTCTTTTTGTAAAAAGCTTCCAAACTGTAATCTAATGTCATGCATCTCTTTCTCAGAAATCAATTACTAAATGGCCAAACACCACGTGGGATTAAAGTTTTGGTTTGTTTGGAAACGCAATTTGATTTATCACACAATAGCGGCCTCTAGTGTTCAATGCAGTTGCATAAAAAATGAAATGTAATCCTAAAAGTTTTAATAATGCACAAACAATGAAATCTTGCAAAAAGTAAAAAATCGCATGTGATGTATAGAGGCGTGTGTTTTTGCAGTTCAAATAAATGTTAATATGTTCTCACAAGTCTCTCTTTCGTTATTTGGAAGTGACCACGGAGTAGTAGGTCACATATGGAAGTGAAACTCTAAAAAAGATGTCGGACTGCACATGTAAGAAAAGCTGAAAGGGTGTCATGTGCATGTTGACTTCCGCATAAAGGGTTATAATGCAAGAGAGATGAGGTTGTCTTAAGCACTGTTTGCAGAGAGAGTGAAACCTTTTCATCATGACTGATTTTCACAGCTGGTTCTTTGCATCCTGGATTCTCTGTTATCTCACAAGTGAGTTTCACATTTATATTGAAGTGTGGTTACAATCAGTAATTTGTGACAGTGAGGGAAAATGTTTTTTTTTTTTATGCAATTCATATTTTCCAATATTTAGTTTTATTTATGTAGTATTTAATTGTGGAGTAACCCCTAATATCATTTTTATATGAACAAGGCACATTATCTAGAACTGTTTGGATCTGTATATATGATATTAATTTTTTTTTTTAAATCACTGTTTCTCTCAGTTTCTAAATGCAGCAACGGCATTGTACAGAGTTTCGAGGGTGAGAGTGTCATTTTGCCACGCAAATATGACAGCAAATATCATGGAAAATGTCCCATATGCTGGATGATAGGAGACATTCCCAATATGGGTTGTGGTAATGAAATTATTGGAAGTGATGGAGATAAAGTGGTGAGGAAAAAATCATACAGATACCAGCTGGAGGGAGAAATACGGCATGGAGACGTGTCTCTGACAATCCTAAACATTCAAAAAACAGACTCTGGCAAATATGGATGCCGAATACATGTGCCTGGATTGTTTAATGATGAGATGTATTACGTCCACTTGATTGTTAATGACGGTAAGTGTCGAAAGCGATGCTTTTAATGCCAAAACACTAGAAGTGACTAAATCCCAGTGATTTAATTGTTTAATTTACCTATTGCATGCATGTACACACACACACACACACACACACACACACACACACATATATATATCCAGTAGTTTGGCATCACAGGAATAAATTGCATTTTAGTAGAAAACAGCTAATTTGTATTGTTATAATGTTTCACAATAATATTACTGTATTTTACTGTATTTGTGATGTTGAGCATAAGAAAGTTCTTTTAAAAACACTGGAAATTTTAACAGACCCCAAACTTTTGAACAGGACAGTGTAGATTTAGAAAACAATTTCAAGATCTTGAAAGTTAGTACAGTTTTACATTAAAATACACTTTCTTCAAAGCCATTATTCCAACAACTTGGGAAACTACATCCATGTCGAGCAGCACATCTGAGCATGAAACCACAGGAGTTTTCAGCACTGCCATGACAGAGGGTACTTGTGTGTGTTTATATGTGAATATATGTGATTCTATGTGAATCTGTCATGGCTGAATGATGAAAACATACCACAATAAAAACAAATCTAACCAAGTCTAAAAAGAAGGTATTTTTGGTGATGATGACAATGGCTACATTAAAAAAGACGTTATCTGCCATCATTCCGTCATCACAGATTAGATCACTGCTGCGTAAAGTCAGTCCTGTCAGCAGTTGTGTTGCTCATGTACGAGTGTGAACATTTAAAAAGGAACATTCTACATCCTGTTTCAAAGCACCTGGTCCAACCACACCAGAGCCTTTGGTAACCACTAGTTCTGGGCTTATAACCTCTGAATCACAGACCACTGAAACTTCAGGAGGTATTATGATTTTAACCCTGGCAGTGAATCTATAATGACTGAATAAAAGGTTTCATTTATGAATAACTGATTCAGTTCTCATTATCTGTAATCTATTTTGGCAACTCAGAAGTATGCAGTTGCATGTTGTACAAATATTTAGTCATTAAAGATCTCTGCTTTCTATAAAAGACATTTAAATTTGTCGTTTAAAGAACATTATGTGACATTATAATTTTTTTGTAGTGGAAACGAACACAACACACGAGAGTTCTTCAATTGTCAGTTCAACAAATGCTCCTGAGAGCAGTACTATTGGATTTTAGTACTGTTGGATTGGATACGGTATAGGCCTATAATTCAGCGAATCATTTTATGCTATTTATAATTGTGTGTAACATACTGCATGTATTTGCAAATATGCTGACTGACCATTTTGTTTGTGTTTTCATTCTAAAAAAGAAACCTCATTTGATCATCGTGAATCGTCCTCTGTGGAAAACAAAGATAGTGTGCGTATTTCACCGTAAACATAAAACCTTATATGTTTTTGAGACATGTTTGAAACAATGATCACTTAATATCTTTGTACTGATTTGTGTTTTAAGGTAAATGCATCAGCAGTGATTGTGCCTGTCCTCCTGTTACTGTTGGCTTTGATAGTCATTGCTGTCATTCTGATATGTGAGTCCAAAGTGCATTCAGTCAATTCATTTTTTCAAATTTCACAGTAATATTCATTGTGTTTGTTATTTATAAAGTTAAACTGTTTCTATTTTCAGTGAAGCACAAGAAGAAAACCAGAGCTGCAGTAGACATGTAAGTCAATCCTTGAAGTGCTAATTATACTGATTATGATTAAAAACATTAATTCCAAAGTTATTTTCATTATAAACATATGTAAATAAAACAATGAAAACAAATGGGAATTTACTGTTGGCATGATACTACTAAGATACAGCCACACATCACTTTACACACCATCAAATGTTAGGGGTCACATAGATTATTATTATTATTCAGCAAGGACGCAGTTTTTTTTAAATTAAAACGTTTTTTTTTTTTAATTAAACTCAGTTTGCTATTGTATTTGCAGAACTCTAAAAACTGTTCTCTACATAACACACATCATTAAAAACTAACAGCTCTTTTGTTTCATTTGCCACACTCATTTACTGGTGACCTACAGCCAGTGATCATGTGTGAAAACACTTATAATTTGTTCATTTATAAATCAAAACTCAGTGTTTTAAGAAAGAAATCATTTCTACCCCCTTTCATATCTGTTTAGAGTGTGTGTGTGTGTGTGTGTGTGTATATACAGTATATGGTTATATAATATGCGTGAATGTGTGTGTGTGTGTGTGTGTTTGTATATGTGTACAGTACACACACACACACACACACACACATACATTGAATATGCATACGAGCCAAGTCAGAAAGTCAACTTTATTTCTAAAGCACTTTATACAATATAGATTGTTTCACAGCAGCTTCACAATAGTATCAAATTCAAATTCTATGTAAAGCAGCTCTAACAAGCCAATAGTGTCATTACACAGCTCAAGTCAGTTCAGTATTGATTCAGTTCAGTTGCATAACTGTAAAATTCATCAGTTGTACATACATTCTGTGTACACAGTGTATATGTGCATATGCATGTATGTGCGAGTGCTATGCCAAACTCCTGTGCACTCAACTGCACTCTGAACAAGCAAAAGACACACGAGAGTATACATTTTTCACATCTATGTGTAGTTTGGCATGTATGTGACTAATTATTTTATGTTTGTTTGGAGAGTTACTATGCAAAAATAGCATTTTTTGAAGAGTTAAAATAGTTTTGAAAGAAGTGTTTGCTTTTCTAAGATATGTGTGACGTTTTGCATGTTGTGTGTGTGTGTGTTTGTTTTGTGATTTGCAAAATGGAGCCATAGTTTCAAAAATTGTGTGTAAGCATTTTTTTTTTAAACTGTAATGAAGTGTTTTGGTAGTTTTAGTGTATTTTGAATGTGAAATTAATTGCTGTGTCAAGTTGAAAGATAGTTAGGAGAACTGTGTGAAGTGTTGTGAAAACGTGACTTTAGTATTGAGAAATGTGTCCTAGTGGTTGTAAAAAAAAAATAAAAAAAATAAAAGTAAAATAGACAACAGTTAATTTAAATTATAATAATATTTCACAATATTGCCATTTTTACTGTATTAGTGATAAATGAAATGAAGCCTTGGCAAGAAAAAGAGACTTGCAAAAATCTAACTGAACACAGTTTTTTGAATGGTGTTGTGACTTATAATCTTGTAATTATTTAGGCAATAATATTGTGCATATTATTAATTTTAAAAAATGAAGTGACCCATGCAATGCATAACAGCATCAAAGCAAGTACAGTATGATCCTTCTATTAGGTCACCTTTTCTGCTTATATTTGTCATGGGCATTGCTGGTCATTAAAACAAAATGTTTTTCATAACTTTTCTTCCTCAGAACCCAGAACTCGGAGAACTCTGTCATCTACAGTAACTCTGGCAGCAGTGTGGGCCTGTACAACAGAGAGATGGCTGTGGAAAACATCTATCAAATACAACCTGAAAATGAATATGAACATTAATTGTAGCATTAATTCACATGTACTATTTACCTTTAAGTTGATCAGTGTGGACTTCTTGTCTTCTGTTGTATTAACACTGTGTTTGTAATAATGTGACAGCTACTGCTGATCAGAGAAATTATTGCTCTGGACTAACCTTACTCTGCCGTCTAGGGGCTAACATACTGCAACACTTTATCATTATTAAAACTAATCTAAGTTAACTAATCAAAGTTTAAATGTTTCATTTACCACACGTGTTTTGACTCCACAGCTGCACATTTCTCAACCTTTCACAAGTTTCACAGCGTTTACGCCAATCCAGAGCTGCGGAAGGGCTGACGTGGGTTCAGAGAGGTCATAAAACTGAATAAAACAGAAACTAGATGGTAAAGGAGGTCATTAAAATTCAATAACCGATTTAAATTTCAAGGTCAATAAAAACAAGTCAGATCAGTATTGATATCAGTGATCAGTTACATTTTTCCATTGATAGTGACAGATAAAAATGTTCTTGGTGAAAAAATATATTTGCCAACAATCATTATGCTGGTTCACACCTCTTATAATAACACTCATAGACCACACCTAGGAAACTTCCTTCCAATGTAACAAACCAAAAACAAACGTCTGATTAACTACAATGCGGTCTGTCAGAAGTATTAATATTGTTTCGCAATGTGTGTACATAAAGAGGAAAAGATTTGTGCAAATCTGTAATCAGTAAACTCAATACATGTTACGGTAACAGACTTCAGCATACATTACTGTTTAAAAGTTTGAGGTCAATACGATTTTGTAATGTTTTTGAAAGAAGCCTCTTATGCTCACAAGGCTGCATTTATCTGATCAAAATACAATTGTCAGGAATATGGATTGCCTGTGTTGTGTTTTGCTCCCATTGACCTAGTTTTCCCTCGTGTGTGACATGCCCATATTTGGTTTTCTTCCTGTTCCTGTTCCTATTGTGGTTCATTGAGTTCAGGTGTGTCTCGTCATCCCCTCGTTTAGTTGAGTATTTAAGCCCTGGATTTTCCCATGTTTAGCATCCAGTGTTAATTGTCATTTGATGCTATGTGTGTCTCTTGTGTGCCCTGTGTTCCCTGGAATTTTGGATTATTAAAGTCTCTCATTTTTGTATTATCTCTACGTCTCCTCGCTCCTCACAGTAGCAGTGTGACAACAATAAAGCCTGTAATATTGTTTAATATTATTATGATTTAAAATCATTGTTTTCTATTTGAATATATTTTTAAAATGTAATTTATTTTCAGCATCATTACTCCAGTCTGCAGGGTCACGTGATCCTTCAGAAATCATTCTAATATGCTTATTTGCTGCTCAGGAAACATTTATTATTATGATCAATGTTGAAAACAGTTGTGATGCTTAAAATTTTTGAATTTAATTTTGAATTTAATTTTTAAAATTGAATTTGAATTGAATTTTACATGATTTTTTCCACAATACTTTGAAGTATAGGGTAACACACAATAAGGTTCATTAGGTAATATTAGTTAACTACTTTAGTAACCATGAATTAAAAACTAACAACTTCTACAGCATTTATTAATCTTAATGTTAATTTTCAGCATTTACTAATATATTTTTTAAATTAAAAGTTGTACTTGTTACTGTAACATTAGTTAATGCACTGTGAACATGAACTAACAATTAACTAATGTATTTTCATTAACAAACATTAACAAAAATTTATAAATACTGTAATAAATGTATTGTTCATTGTTTGTTCATGTTAGTTAATACATTAACTAACATTAACCAATCGAACATTATTGTAAAGTGTTACCATGTACAGAAAGTACAAAATAATTTGAAATCTTTTGTAACATTACAGATGTCTTTACTGTCACTTGTGATCAATTTAACGTGCATAATAAAAAAAATAATTATTTTACTATTCAGGCTCAAAATACCTGAACAGTCTTTAGCTGTTCCAGCTGAATAGTCTCACTCTGTCAATGTTTGTTCAATAATTAGTGAATTCCTCGAGTCTGATGAAGAATTAGCCGGTTTATCCAAAGATCCAGCTGTGATTGCATGAAGACTTTGTGCCACTTTGTTTACCAACAATAGCAAACACACGTGCCACCATGAACATGCTGTGTGCAGGCCCACTGAATCATTCATGGAGCCTGTTTACAGGCACATAGCTAAGATATCCAGATAAAACTCCATCACACAATGGCCCTGTTCTTCGCCGCACGACTCCACCTCCAGACGAGGACTGCAGATGGGTCAGTGGCCCTGTCCTTCTTGGAGATGTCACAGGCGCAGAGCTGGTGAACACAGCCACTCTTTCACTTGCCCTCCTCTGCATAATCCTGGTGCCGCCCAGCACAAGGCAGTGTTGCCTGAACACCACACTGGCCGGTCGGAATGGCTGCTCCTCCCTGGTTATCAGTACTACGCTGGATCCTCCTCCTCACCATTTCAGGCAAGAAACGCACTATAAACTTGGAAAATTATGTAAGGCATGGGGTATTATGGGAGATTTACTTTATAACAGAAGAAACAGAAAATACACTGCAAAAAATCATATTCATATCCTGTTTTCCAGTAAAAATATTAAATATCCAGTAAAATAAACTTATAAAATAGTGAAAGATGTGATTGTTTTCAGAAAATTTTAAAGGGGTCATATGATGTTGCTAAAAATAACATTATTTTGTGTATTTGGTGTAATGAAATGTGTTTATGCGGTTTAAGGTTAAAAAAACACATTATTTTCCAC